ACGTAGTACGTACGTACGTACGTACGTACGTACGTACGTACGTTACGTACGTTACGTACGTACGTACGTACGTACGTACGTAGTAGTAGTAGTACGTAGTAGTAGTAGTATATATATATATATATATATATATATATATATATATATATATATATATATATATATATATATATATATATATATATATATATATATATATATATATATATATATATATATGTATATATTATTATTATTATTATTATTATTATTATTATTATTATAAATATTATTGTATATAGATGTATATGTGTGTATTATATTCTATTGTGTATATTTGTATGTGTTTATATATCAATAATTACCGACTTAACCTTCATCAGACTGGCACATCTGGTTGGCTGAACGGAGGATAAACTAAGCAACGTTAATAGTCTTTAGAAACCTATGTTCGGTTGAGCCATCTCGCTTCCGATCCAGGCCAGCCAACACATACCAAATTCATCCGTGGTCTGGTGCGGCATTGGCTTACCCCCATCCTCGCTTCTCGACCGGATTATGACGGATAACCTGGTCCTTCTCGGTATTTTGTACTCTGCACTAACCCATTCCGCGGCACTAAACGGCGCAGACCCGATCCGTACCACAGAGGTGGGTACTCTACCTAGTAGGTCAGCAAGCGAATATATGGAACATTCGATAGTAACAGTGTTTTGTCAACACCGGCCCGAATTGACTCAACACATATCGTCCATTGTCGACTCACTTGGCCCAAGCTTCAAGCGGGAATTTACTGACCACTTCATCCCATCAATCTTTCCTGAACCACTACAGCGACTATGAGAGCCATACCATATGTTCATACATTGTATCATACATACATACTTGCCATTTTTGAAATAAATATTATTATCCCTACCGATGTATTCAGATATAAATAGATTTGGAAAGTATATATAGTTCTATTAATAGAACTAGACCAACTCTAATGTTTGGTATTTTACTGAGGCCTTTTAATGGCCTCGTCCAAATATCTGATATGTAAGATGGAAAAGGTATTCATAACTAAAACCATTAAAACCCCCATTTAGGAAACTTAAGTTCATCGTACTATTAAGAGTACGTTTATAATTTATGTACTGCTTAAGAGTACGGTTTTAACATAGAATCTAATGTGGAGGCCCGGCTATTACACATGCATGTAGAACACGTACTGTGGATCGATAGCCTGGCATCCAGCTAAAAGCCGCAGTGTTAACTCAAGTTCAACGTCAACCTCTATGGCGCCATTACGCAAATTCCCCATGAACTTGTCTCTTCTACATTTCGGTATGAGTGCCTGCTTCAATATCATGAATTGTGTATACGTCATACGCAGATCGTTGTCAAAGAGGTTCATCTGTAGCGAATGCCCCGCTACTTCGTCAAAGCTGGGTCTATACCTATATACCGTCTTAGCTTTCGCTGCGTTCTTAGCACTCTTAAGATGAGGGATAAGAGAAACTACTGTGGCTATAATCAACCACATGACGTCCTCTGTCGCCCTAGTCTGCTTTCGAAAGCCCCTCACTGTCACTACTGCTATCAGAGTCGCTGTCACTGTCACTACTCTCCTCCATATCAGAGTCGCTATCAGACTCATATCCACTACCATCTTCACTATCGCAACTATCGCTACTATCTAGTTCGTCATCACTATCTTCATCTTCATCACTTGAATCGCCACTGCTACTTATCAACATCGGTAGCCCATCGTCGTCTATATCTGCCACGTACGTATGATTAATAAATCGTGAAATACCACCTGAGGATATAGCTGGTGTGGCCATGTTTTCATTCAAAGTGCACTCTAACATGAGTGCATTGTGTAGTAGCAATACTCGACTACGGACGTAGTTTCGTACTTGTGTGCAAGTGTTTTTGTGTGAAAGATGTCCGTTTGTTTGTTTTTGTACAATATATTGCTCTGCCGCGCATTGATCGTGGAGCCAATAGCATCGCATCTGGAAAAATGAGTCATGGCGAAGAAAATCGTTCAAAAGTACGCTTACTATTTTGGGTCAAATATCAAACCCCCCCCCCCCCTACTGCCCTCTTTTACCTCGCTTCTAACGAAAAATACTTTTTTTTTCGTTTATACGGGGGCCCTTAGAACAGTGTTGTAAAATAGGTTCATATCGTAAACTCAAGGATGCTCCAAAAACACGCGCCTTTGCGTGGAAAATTTGTGGCGCGTCACCAGGCCCACACGAAATGCGATTCTCAAATCTCAAGATTAAATACAAAAAGTATAATTTTAGGGTTTGCTAATTTTATCCCCTTCATCTTATGGTACCTCGGCGTGTGGTATACTGTAGATAAACTACGTGTGGTGGTATACTGTAGATAAACTACGTGTGGTGGTATACTGTAGATAAACTACGTGTGGTGGTATACTATAGGGTATTTGCTCGGCACAGACACAGAGAATAACTGTGCATACCTGCGTGCATCATCACTATGGCGCAGCCAAAGAAGCTGAAAGACGTCTCATTTAGCCAGACTGAGGATCGCAATGTTGTTAATTCCTGGGTTAAGGCGGCATGTGATAAAGATGCGGACTACGAGACCACAGGGGAATACTGGAGTGCTGTTTATAGAGCATTCAAACGACTGAGTAATAGCAAAGTGAATAAGACGATGGAGCAGATTGAGAACCGGTTTATTCATATAGCGAAGGTAAGCTTGTTTCTGAATTAGGACAACGAGCTACATACCAATAGCATGTGTCTATATTTCTACAGATATAAGTGCATGAGTTCATATTATATATATATATATATATATATATATATATATATGGATCTATCTATCTATGTATGTGTGTATGTATATATGCATACATGTATTCAAATATATATATATATATATGTGTGTGTGTGTGTGTGTGTGTGTGTGTGTGTGTGTGTACTTTTATATCTATACATATATATATGTGTGTGTGTGTTTGTGTGTGTGTGTGTGTGTGTATGTGTGTGTGTGCGTTTTTATTTGTGTTTTTAAATTCTTATGTTTGCATGTTTGTTTGTATATGTTTGTATATTGTTTGTATCAATATATTCTATTGATATATATCTATATTTATATATATATATTTATACATATATATAAATGTGTGTGTGTGTGTGTCTGTGTGTGTATGTATGTATGTATGTATGTGTGATACGTATGTACACATGATATTGATACATATATATATATGTGTGTGTGTGTGTGTGTGTGTGTTGTGTGTGTTTGTATGTGTGTGCTATGTGTGTGTTTATATATATTAAACATATATATACATAT